ATCTATCTATCTATCTATCTATCTATCTATCTATCTATCTATCTATCCATGACCAGAACTGTAATCACCTCCATTATATCTCATATATATATCTTTACCTAAAAGGAGAAAGGGTACCGAACACTAAGCAGGAAGTCAGAGGTGGGTTTTGCTGTTAGATGACGATGCCATTAGAAAAAGCAGGTAAAAGCTGCCCCAGTTCATGGAGTCATGACGAAGTTTAGCTCTACTACTGAGAAAAGCCAACACCTGGGGCAGCGTGTATCTGCCACAACGCAAGACGTCAAACAATTACCAGCGTGGGGAGAGGAAGAGGAGGAGCTTAGAGAGGAGAGCCTCTGCTCATTCTTCTGGAGGTTTTAAGGAGAGAAAAAAAAAGGAGGAGACACAAATTCGGGAAGAAGGAACAAGTGAGACAGAGGTGATGAATTTACAACGGACATTTCAGACACCGGTGACACCATCACACCACTTAGTCCAAAAAGACACAATATGACACACAGTATGTACAACAACATTTAAGGAGAATAGTATAAATACTGGTGTGTGTCAGAAGTAGGGATCTCTTACCTCCATATTTGTCCTCGCTTTTTTCAGCACATCACGAGTCCTTGATACTGAGAAAACAGGGGACACAGACTTAGTCTCTGTTACAGGACTTAAAGGAATAAAAACAACTGCAACTACATCTTACAGCTATCTTGGTTTCTTGCTTGGAGCTCAGATATAAAACATCATCCTGTGTATTTATGTAAAAACTAAAGCGGTCTGTGTGTTAAACCTGAGGGAAGACACATTTACCGTGTTTCTCGTGTCTGTGAAATCCAAAAGTGGAGCAAAAGGACACTCACACTGGTTGACGATGTAGTGCTCCATGCTCTCCTTGGTGCGGCTGGTGCTCCTCAGTCTCTGCAGCGTCCCCTTAAGAACCTCCTCCTGTTCGGATATGCGCAGTTTCAGGGACAGGATCTCCTCCTGCATGCACTGTTCCTGTTCCAAAACACACAACGTCAAAGAAAGCGCACGTTCATTGACCTTTTTTTTGACCAAGCTCATTGAAGTCTTAAAAATCCTCATGTTTCTTTTTCCAAACCTTCTTGAGGTTTTGGATGGAAGGATCGCTGCTGGGAAGAGCCGCCCTCCAGAACATCTTCAGGAGAGACATGGCTTCCTCCAAAATCTGCCTTAGTGTCTTGGTGTTGGACATAAGACTCTTAACACATCCATAGTCCAGAACCTGGAAGAAGGGCCCAGTGAGATACATGTGGGGTCGGCATGCGTCAACAGTGGTAAATTAAGATGGCCGATATTCGCACTGTTACAGATATCGCAGTTTTTAGGTCCAAACTCAAGACGTATCAGTTCTGGCTGGCTTTTAATACGCAGAAGTGGTTTCTTTTTAACCTATTTCATCTTACTGTTTTTCTATGTTCACTCTTTCTATTGTATGTTGTGATTTTACTCATTTTGCTAAGCACTTTAGATACCTGCTAGCTGTTGTAAAGCGCTATATAAACACATTTTGATTGATTGTTTGAAACAGACCAGATCACTGCCGTCTTTCTGGTTGCTTTCCAGCAGCGGGGGGGTGAGACAGGCCTGCAGGGTGGCCTCCATGCGCTGGACCAGGCTCCGGCCCTCTAGAACCTGCTGCTGCAGGGCACTGAAGTCGTCCATGTGACCGATGGCGTGGCGACCATTACGGTTCGCAAAAGAGCCGTCGGGTGCCTCCCCTTCCAGCTCGGAGTGCGGGTCGAGAGGGTCTGCTGAAGGCAACGAAACCGGAATTTACCTCAACAGGCCTTAGACTGACAAAAAATCCAACCTTTTGTCACTGAATAGAGGATTCAGAGCGGTTAAGAAGTTATTAAGGAGGGCAGGTGAATCAAACCAAAACAGAGCTGCCATCGCTGTAATGCATTACACCTTTCTATATAACAAAGCATGAAATTAAGCCATTAAGTTGCAGTAAAGCGGTTGCAGTTAATGTCACACCATTGGCAGTCATATGGCTGTCTTCCAAGTCTGAGTAGGGGGGACCAGGAGATCCACAGTTAAATAGACCAATGTCCCTGACAGGTGGGGATGGAGCTGGGTCTGTGGAGCACACACACACACAAACCAGGCTTGGACACACGTCAAACCACAAGACAGCACACTGAGCCCCCGCGAGCGAGCCTCCGTCTCACCGTGGAGCAGCTGCCGTCGGTAGAAGCTCTCCCTCTGGGGGCTGGCGCTGAGGGCGGAGAGGGAGGGGGTCCGGGGCGACGCGGCGCCCAGCTTCTGCTCCAGCTGCTTGTGGAGCTCCAGCTGCTTGAGGGCGCTGCTCTCCTGGACGCTGCTCTGCAGCTGAGCCCTCAGGCTCCTCACCTCCGCCAGCAGCTCGCTCAGCTCCAGCGGGAGGCCCGACACGTCACACAGGTACCCTGAAATGGCGGAGAGGGGGGGCGGGGCCGGTGAGATCTGGATGCAGTGCTGGGGGAATGCTGACACTGCATTTCATTTTCTAATGCCCTCTTGATCCCTCATCAGAATATTTTCTGTCCTAAGAAGATATGGGGACTTTAGATTTGTGTATTCATGTTTCACTCCGGGCGGCACGGTGGTGTGGTGGTCAGCACCGTCGCCTCACAGCAAGAGGGTTCTGGGTTCTAGTCCCAGGGGACCCAGGACCTTTCTGTGTGGAGTTTGCATGTTCTCCCTGTGTCTGCGTGGGTTCTCTCCGGGTTCTCCGGCTTCCTCCCACAGTCCAAAAACCTGCATGTTAGCTTGATTGGACATTCCAAATTGCCCTTAGGAGTGAATGTGAGTGTGCGGGTTATTTGTCCTTGTATGTTATGTGTGTGGCTGTGTGATGGACTGGTGGACTGTCCAGGGTGTACCCCGCCTCTCGACCATTGACCACTGGGATAGGCTCCAGTTCTCCCCTCGACCCCATTAGAGGAAAGCGGTCACGTTAATGGATGGATGGATGGATAATGGATGGATGGATGTTTCACTCTGAGGTTTAAAGTCTTTCCTTTTATTGACCACTAGATGGAGCCAATGCATGGAAATCCGCAGGAGACGGGCAGAAAAATGTGTGGCATCCCTCCGAAAATCCTTCACTGACCTTTGTTTGCCTTTGAGCTTGAACACACTCGATCGTAGACGTGCAGCTCACTCTGCAGGGAGTGGATGAGCTCCCTGCTCTCACACAGCTGCTGCTGGAGCAGAGACATCTCGTGCTGCAGCCTGACCAAAAGCACAGACGCATCGTGTCGCTTCGAGGTCAAAGAACAAACAGGCACAGAGTCTAGTTAAAACTGATGCCCACCTGTTGGCTTTCTCCTGGCCAGCCTGCCTCTCCTGTCTCAGAGTGTGAATCTGCTGCCCCTGCTCCTGACTGTGGGCCTGAAGCCGTCTCAGCTCCTCCTTCCACTGCTCGGCCTCCAACTCCGCCTGCTTCAGACGGGCACGCGCCGTAAAAACCGCCTCTCGCAAATGCACCGTCTCCTCATTTGAGTCTGTCAGAAAAAGGCGAAACCAGACGGGACAATGCGAAAAAGCCCCAAATGAACTGTTGTGTTTCTGTTCTGTGTTGGTGAGCATTATTGTAACGCACCTATGCTGGCCTGCAGGCGGGACTGTAGACCCAGATTTTCCTCTTTCAGAACTCGGATCTCGTTGGACAGTTGAGTGACCGTGTCCAGCCCCTGGATGTAGATGTTTGTCGGCGCTCCTGAACCCCAAAAGATAAAAATTTCAAATCAATTTTCTGTAGCGAGAGAGGAGTATTCAAAATGTGGGAGGTCACATTACCTCCATCACGCCCAGTGGAGGCCAGTTTCTCTTCCAGCTGCTGTCGGAGTCTCTCATTGGTTCTTATAGATTCCTCCAGACGCTGACGCAGGTTCCTCACCTCCCGCAAGTGCTCCTCGATTAGATTTACCCCTGGAAAATATAAACGGTATTATCACACTGGGCTACCAAAACATCTTCATCACTATACAATATCTTTGAGGACATGAATCCCGGGAGGCCAAGTATTGATCACCGTGAGTTAGTATCAACTGATGTGTTGTGTCGCACCTGTTGGGTTGCCTCCTGGCTGGTTTCCAGGATAGCCTCCAAACGGCTGAGCGAAGTTTTCCACATCCCACAAAGGCCTTCCGCTCAGCAGACCGGAGTCAGACGTAATGGCGTGGCCCTCGGGGATGCCGCCCAGCTGGTACTGCTGAAAGGCGTGGTGGGGTAAGTGGCCGTAGGAGAGGTCGGGCTGGGTGTGGGCACTGGAAGAAAGGCTGAACGGACTCTTCTCTTGGGCAACTCCAAACACTGTAAGCACACAAATAAAACAAGGGGGGGAGTGAAAAAAGGAAGCGCAAGCACTCACGTGACAACGCGGGATTTTAATTGGTAAATTAAAGGGTGCTTTCAAAGAAGCTTCAACTATTTATTTATTTTCACGCATGGCACACTCTATCTGGGCCCTCACCCCTGTTGTGCTCACTCATCTGTTTATACAGCGAGTCCAGCTCTGGGCGAACAGCGATCACAGACAGGGCCCTGGGCCGGGGGTCGGAAGAGACCTCAGAGCCCCAGACACCAGGGCCAGAAGAGAGACAAAGGGAGGAGGAGGCAGGAACACTGAATAGGGCTGAAGGGGAACGGCAGGAAATGACAGAACACAAAGGAGGAGAACAAAAAAATGATAAAGGGCTTTTTTTTAGACTTTGCTTCTCATAACCTGCTGGGAGGCTCATACCTCTTGCGGTCTGACTAGCTGGACCCCCAGAGGCTGAGCAAAGCATGTTGGGACAGCTGCTGGATGACTTGAGGAAGCCATGAGGAGGGGGGAGAGATGGACGGACTAGAACGGCGGAAGGGAAAGTGAAGGGGTGGGACGATGTTTTCGGCGGGGAGGAGGAAAGTCCAAAGGTAACCATACCGTCCGCCTCTGCCGCGTGTCTGTGCTGCTCCTCCTGAAACTCTCTGGCATCCAAATCGGAGCACAGCTCCAGGTCCTCGTTGGTCTGGTACTCGTCGGACGCAAGGGAGGTCCTGTCTGACTGGTCGGTGGTCTCGGAGAGGGCGTGGCAGCTGGACGGGGTCTCGGGACACTGCTGCAGCTTGCTGTGAAGCGACTCGATGAGTTTGTCTTTCTGCTGTAACTCCTTACTCAGCCTGCACGCAAACACAAAGATATGAGAGCTTGTTTCAGCTGATAGCCGATGTTAAGACACATCTTCTGATTTTTCTCATAAAACTCTTAGGATGACCAGTTCATCAAATGATAAATATTGGGGCAAAAATAAGAGAAATTAACAGAAAGTGATCGTCACAGAATATAAAATATATATATATAATCCCTAAATAATGCGGTTTGCATGAATTCAGAAAGATGCTGCTACGACTGCTTTGTCCCCACCCCAGAAAGGTTCAGGAGCGTTGTCTTAAGCCTGTAAGATGTCATTTCATCTCCAGCACCTCATATAACCTGCGAGCGCAGATTAACAGCAGCCGCCAACTGTTCCTGTAAGGAATCATGTGGAGGGCTCCTCACATGGCACACAGTCACATGACAAAGCAACCTAAGGACTAGGGCAGGAGTCAGAGCTCTGCAAAGTTAATAAGCTAAAGGTAAAACCTTCACAGAAGGTAACAGATCACTGAGATTTGCTAATGCCGCGGCCTTTTCTTGAGGAGGATTTAAAGCTTGCATATGTACCTTAAGTGTCTATAATGGTTACCTAAATGCTCAATAAGTAACCATCAGGCTCTTAACATGTACAAGGTACAAGCGTTCATAATATAGATAGCTAAAGTATGTTTTGTGTTTAAATGAGGAGTAAATTGCTCAGTATTTTTTTGGTACCCTTACTGTCATCTGTATTTGTGTATAATGGACTTTGTAATACATTGTATGTATTAGATGTAACCATGTATAGGTTCAAATTATTTCAATCTCTCAGAACACCATTTGGTTTACCTTGACCCGACAATAAGTGCAAATTTAAGATCAATCTGACTCACCTTAAGGCGAGCAACTCATGGCCGTTCTTGTCTACATGGTTCTCTGGATTTTCTCCTACAGACGGGAAACACAGGCAACAATCTCAGTCAAAAGGGACAAAGTCAAGCGGGTGTCCGTCTTCTTCTCTATGGTGGGAAGATGTTACTTACGTCCACTTATCTTGGTGACCACCCTTTGTGCCAGGGCCGTGCTCTGAGCCAGCTGCTCTCTAAAACTCTGACCCATGTAGTAGTCAACATCATTGGCCCGCAGGAGCTCTTCAAAAGCCTGAAAGTTGTTGAGAAATGAGCGTGTATGAAAATGAGGACTGTGAATCTTCCCTTAGCCTGTCATATTTAGTTTATCTGGTAGACAAATTGGTAAAAATATCACTGAACAAAGCACCTTTGTGGTATCTCCCAAATGCTGGGTCAGTATGTGGCAGACGCCTTGGCCCTCTCTCATCCTTTGCCTCAGGTGGGACAGCTCACGAGCTTGTGCTTGGATCAGAGAATTGTATTTCCTGTGAGGAAGGAGAACAGAAACAAAAACACTGAATTAACCCTTTAAAGCCTGATCCAAGAATAAAACAAAACAGAAAATTACTTTTTTTTTTTGTTTGAATGACTTATTTAGCCTTTTAACTAAATAATAATTTTGTACTATGTGATAAGTCAAGATTATCTTTGTGTACTCTTCTGCCCCCTCTTATCAGCTATATCTGATTGTGTACAATAGGATTTTGAGCAAAGTTTTTACCATTAAATCATGCAAAAGGTGTCAGACGCAAAACATTTCAGAAACCGTGTGTATCAAATATGATACATTTGGCATTATAGGGTTAAGACAGTCAAGTTTCTGTCCTGTAATGAGGTCATACAGTATGGGTCAGTGCTCCCATGAGCATCTGTTGATTAGGGGACTATGCCACAGGTAGTAAGAAGTGAGACATTTTTCTAGCTTGTCCTTTATTTCACATGTCTCTTCACTCACCCAGGCCAGGTGGCGCATTTCCCCTCTTCCACTTGGCCCTTCCTGTCCGCTTTGCTTCCCTTTAGCTGAGCCTCGAGCGACGCCACCCGTTCCATCAGCTCCTGCAGCTCCCTGCTGGGCTTGGAGCCGGAGCGCGTTCCCTGGGTGTCGGACACCCAGCCTTCGTCTTCCTCCGCCCCGCTGGGAGCTGGCGATGTTTCGAAGGCCCAGTTCACCTTTGAGAGCAAAAAAAAACCAAACGATCAGTTTACCACCTGGGGAACGGGGGGCCTTGTTCTAAACCCTGGAACCGGTCAAGGGGACGCCGGTCGCGAACCTTGCGCGGGGTCCGCTCCAGGCTGGAGGCGTAGTCGCTGGTGGCCGACAGGGAGCGCACCCGCAGCTGCAGGCCGCGGATGACTTTGTGGCAGCGGCTCAGCTGTGAGCGGAGATCCTGAACCAGGTGCTGGAGAGAAGCTGCTTCGTCCTGCATCTCGTAGGCACTTCTGCTACCCGCACCGGGGTACCAGCCACCGCCCGGCCCTCCGGGCTCCTGGTGGTGGGACAGCGACGTGCACATCTCCAGGTCGTCAAACTCTGAGCGGGGAGATGGAGAAAATACATGGCTCCGGCATGAGTAAAACGGACAGGCGAGTGTGTTCTACTGAGCGGGACGTCGTCTGTGTAAGTCCCAGAGAGAATTGCTCTCTGGGAATCACCTGGGCTGCTGGTGTCTTCCCTCTCTGCTTCGTTTTCGCTGCGCCCACAGGTCTCATAACCCAGATCCTGGAGGTCCACTTGTACCTGCTTATTGGCCTGCTGGACAGATGTCTCTGCTGCGTGGATGTAAAAAAAAAAGAAAAAAGAAGACACTTGAGCATGTGAGATGTTGTCTATTTCTCTTCTGGACGCGTGCTGAGGAGAGACTCACTGAGCAGATCCTTGTAGTCCTTCAGCTGTTCGGCCTGAGCCTGAACGGTGGCCTCGGAAACCATCAGCCTCTCCTGAAGCTCCCGGTTCTCCTTTTGGCTCAGGTGCAGGTCGGAGCGGAGCTCGGCCGCCTGCTCGCGCAGACCCATCTCTATGTCCCGCCAGAGCGCTCCGGATTCACTCCTACCACCAGCAGCCCCCACGTCCTGCAAGAGCAAAGGCTTCCGGTCACAGATCAATAAGCATCTCGACTTGAATTTGAAGTGCTAAAAAACATGACTGCCTTTTCTCCTGGGTAAAAAGCCCGTCTGTGTTAAGAAACAGTGTGGGGGAGGAAAAATGATATAGATTCTAGTCCAGCATCAAAACGTCCAAAATGTGTAGTAAAAAAAAAAACAAGTGTGAAGTGTTTTCACAGAGGATGATCTTTGGATATATCTTATTGAATTACATTATATAGATTTCCCTTGTGTTTTTTCACACTACGATGTTTCTACGTTTACTTTCTAATCATTCTAAAGTATTCAAAGTCCCAGTTATCTTATCACTATGTTCAATAGTCTGTAGAAACAGCCCAACTTCACTTCTGAAAGACACTTTTAACGTTACTTCCACACATTAATGACCTCTTTAAACAATCTTGACCATTCAAAACATGGTATTCAAGTTGTTTCATTTTAAAACTACTTGCTTTTCCAGTTCCTGCCTGAATTTTTCAAAATGCTGCCTACTCAAATTCAGGATGATCCGTAACAGGAAATAAAATAATGAAGTATCTCACTTTGAACATAGATATTTATGTGGTTCATTGTCCAACCACTTGGACTTCTATCGTTTTAAATTCCCAAATGATTTGAGCACTCTGATCTCATCCAACTCCTTCTAAGACTTTGTTTTGAAAGCAGAGATTCGTGACACTTAAACAGTTACATAAATAAATGGTCAGAGCAGCCGTTACCGTTTTGGTTTGGTGGGACGACACGTCCAGGGAGCGCGGCCTCATACAGTGTCTCTTTCCTGGCTCTTTGCTTAGACCGAAACAAGGAGGACCTCGCTTCCCCGACAGCACCGGAGATGTTTCCAGGTCTTCGTCTTCTTCCCCGCTATCCTCCTCCTCCTCCTCCTCCTCCTCCACTAGGTTCAAACCCTTCATCACTTTAGCCTTCGGCCCAGCAGCTCCGGCCCATCCCTGCCTCTGTGTCAGAGCCTGGTTCTCCTGCTGCAGTCTCTGTAGGGCATTCCTGTTGAGAGAGCAGCACAACGCTGAAAAATGCCCTCCCCGAGCAGCCCAGCAAGACCAGGGAGCAAATCACAACATGGATATTCCCACAGGAATATCAATTCCTGTGAAATACGAACCTCATCTCGGCTATAGAGGTATATCCATCCTTCTCCAGCTCCGACTTTATTTCTTCAAACTCAGCTTCGAGTGCTTTCTTTTCTTCCTCAAGCTGCTGTATATCTGCTCTCTGTGAGAACACCCCTCCCGTCAGCCCCGCAGTCACACGCTCAGATCCTCGAGCCTTCACACAGTCCTGAAATGCCAGGGGAAAGACGATATAATTCGCTTGTTGCTCTCACATTTCTTGGCCACAGTTATTGGAATTAATCAAATCTGAGAGGGATTTAACACATGGAGGTGTACCTGAGCGGAGTTCAAGCTTCTGCTGGTCACATTATTGTCATCCTCCTCTATGCTGTCTGTGAACTCATCGCTGCTGCCTTCTTCATCATCTCCCTCCTCCTCCTCCTCTTCTGTGCTGAGCTCTGAAAGCATAATGACCATTTAAAGAATCGATCCCCTCCTCAGCTCCCGTTAGTTCTTTACATTAGAGCTTCAGCTGCAGCCCACTCCTGTTATTCTAGCCATTTATTGTCTCTCCCGCTCCAGCTCCCAGCCTCAGTCCCTCTCTTTCACAGAAATGTCTGTGCTGAATCACCACAGTGGAAGTCATGGGACTGAAAGGAAAAGTTAAGTCATACACTCCCTGCCACCCAGCCAAATAAACCCTCCGGTCTGCAGAGCCCAGAACGAATGTGTGTTTATGAGGGCAGTTTTTTTAAAAAGGAATCAGTGGTGAATGTATGCTGACATACACCGCCACACAAAGATCCCGAAAAGGAGGAAACTAAGAGGTTTGGGCTTGCAGGAAGCTGAAGTTCAGAAGTGGAGAGGAATTTCACATGGAAATTGTTCCACATGACAGGGACTGAGAGTACAGGCAGTGTCATTAAAGGCACAGGAGTGTTTTTATGGATGCTCACTGCATTGTCAGGACTAGGACTAGAAAGTTTAAACCAACCTCCGCCCTTAAAAATAAAGGGCAAGTCAAATATAATAACTGTGTGTGCGGTGCTTATGACAGGCCAGGGAACCTTTGCAGTGAAACCATGGGCTATTATTGACAGGACAATGTGCTGAGAGCTGAAAGGGAGAGAATGCGGTGCCTTGTTTACACAATGGGGCACTTCATAATGCGACCGCATGTACATTTGTTTTTGTTTTTCTCTATAAAATGACGGCTTACTATTTAAGATGCTAACTGGACTGTCATGAATACCCACCTGGTTATCACATGCAAACATGAACACCATGCCACATTCTCATGCATGAGGGAGCAAAGACAAGGAGAGGAAGCCTAATGTGGACTTCTGTGGATGTTTATACGTGTACGTGAATTCGGAATATCAAACTTGTGATATTTCTGTTGTGAAATTTCAACAATTCACAGTGTTCACGAGTAAAATTATAGACAGACAATATAAACTGCATAGTAAGAATAGCATAGGGAAACACTTTGTACTCAAAGCGTTAAAGCTGAGGTTTTACTTAGGGTCAAAGGTATGATGAGGTAAGGAAGGCACAGTTGATCTGTAGGGGTAAGAGGGGGGCTATTTCAGGAGGAAGCAGGGGATTTCAGGTTTGGGATTTTCCATGAAACTAACTCCCAATCATACACAATGAAGAGAAATCCATACCAGAAGTGCTTTTGAATAAAAGCCAGAATGTTTATTTTTTTCCATTTAAAATACAAAAGAAAATAAATAAGGAAGAAAATGTTGACACCGATTTAATATTTGAGCCTAGATGAGGATCAGGGCACAAATCCCTCAAAAATATTCTCTAGCTAATCTAAACCTCTAATAGGCTGGTATTATTTCAAATCTCCAGTGATGTGGGCTTACTGTAGAGTTATGTAACATTAACTATTCTGGTCTCAGTAAAAAGCTAAACTGATAAGCAGATATATTAAAAATGGGGCACATTTTAAGAAATAACTGTTACATGAAAGCAACGACTGCACCTAGAGGCATTTATCTAACGTGTCTTGCCTTCCGTTTCATGCTTTGGACTAAAATCTAACTAAAGCAGAGCAGGCTTGCATCACGAAATGTGTGAAAGTTGAAGCTAAAGGTTAAGACTGTGCGGAGTTGAACTTGGCCACTTTTCCCCAGCTTTGGAGCTCAGGCATTTGTGAAGTGTGCACACTCTGTTGGCAAACGGATGATATAAAAAAACAAATGATGGATGGTGAGACGTTTCACTGTAAGGCATGAACTGGAATTCTCCACAAGACGAACTTCACTGTGATGGTAAGGCTGGAAGAGTGACACCGGTGAGAGACAACACACAGAAATGGCATCAGATAACAATCGGACTACAGAGCAGGCAGTTTCCCCAAAAGAATATCAAAGACATGTTCACACCAAACTCACAAGCTACGTTAATAAATAAGACTCCGAGCTGCACATTTTCATTTCACACAGGTTCAACTGAACAAGCTCTGTCAGCAATGCTGGTGCTCAATGGACAAAGCTGCCTGCAGATTGAGGGTCAGATTCCTCTTTTTCGTGCATAATTTGAAAAAGACCGAGCCTCGTCATATTCTTTTTGACCATGGTTTCTGAACCCGACCCTCAGTGTTTAGAGGCAGCTCCGTCTCACATTAATAGTGCCCGTTTCACTCAGTGCTGCGTGGCATTAAGGAGCGTATGTGAGAGCGCTGCTTGCAGCCTCGGAGGCTGGACCCCTCCCATTCCCACCTCCACAGTCCGGCTGCCTTTTGGCTGCCCTGTCCAGTGCCAGGGCCATGCTACGGGTCCTGGCCAGAACCTCCTCGAGCTGCCCGCGTAGCGCCTGGACTGAATCCAGCTCAGTGTGGAGAGCCTGGATCTTCTCTGATTTGCTGCATTGAGAGGGAATACATGAGGGCGTAAACAACATAAAAACTATCCCTTATGTGACATCTGGGAGGTCACAGGGTGCACTGGCTGTGTGCTGTGGTGCAGCTTACCCATCGCTCTTATGAGTGTGTGTCAGATTTTGGTACAGCCTCTTCTCCACCCTCAGGGCATCGTTTAGGTCGTTATATTCAGCCACCAACTGCTCCAACACGCACTGAAACGCCAAAGCAAGGTCATTTTTAGGCCACACAGAAACTTTACAAACCTTCTGGTCGATGTGAAATCTTACGCGGTGGTCGGTGCCGTCGTTCGTGGCGCCTGCCTTGGACCGGTGGCGAGAAACGAGAGACGAACGCAGAGCCGATAGCTCCTCCTACAGGGAGAGGACAGGAACACGAGTGAGACCGGGGAAGGCTAGCATTTTTTTGGGCGTCGTGTCCCGGTCCGCACACGCGTGGGTACCTGAGCCTCCACTTCTTTCTTCAGCACGAGCTGCAGCTCGTCCTTCAGGGCCTTCAGCTCTGCCTCGCTCTCCTGTGTGAATGGCTGCACAGCCTCTTCCTGGGCCTGAATCAGCTCCTGGGGCAGCAGAGGATTGTGACGGTCAGGTGGGCAGACGACAAAAGCAGCAGAACTGTCAAAGGGAGGCGGATGACCAAATACCTTGATGAAGGCTTCTTTCTCTTTAAGCAGAGTCCACAGGTGCGCCGTCTCTCCTCCTGTCGTTTCGGCCTCCTTGTCCCGTCTCAGCTCACACAGCTCCTGCTCGGTTTGCGTCAGCTGCCTGCGAAGCTCCTGCAGCTGGCCCGTCCGCTCGCTAATCACCAAGGAGAGCCTGTAGGAGTAGTCCTGACGGAGAGAGGGGGGCGATTCACCCTTTAATTGATGCGCTCAGGTCTGCCGCCTGCCGGCTTCTTGTCCACGCCGGGGGGGCGGCTGCCTACCTGCACGTACTGATCTTTAGAGCTGAGGGTGCTCAGCAGGTCCTGGACCTGCGCCTGGTGCTCGTCGGCCTGGCGGCTGCGGTCGGACAGCAGCTCCTGGAACAGCTTCTCTTTGAGAGCCAGTCGAGCCTTCAGCTCCTCGGTGATGTCCGTAGGACCGGCGTGCACTCGGGCCACCAGGGCGGCGGTCAGCTCCTGCAGGCACGCACAAAACGGAAAAACGCCCAGAGGGGAGCCGCGTCAGCGCACCTGCTGCGTTCACGAAAAAAAAAACAGGTCTCGCTGGTTTGTCCGCCCCTTTTCGGGACGGGAAACGCCCTGTACCTGCGTCTCCTGGCTGCGTGTCTGCAGGGCTGCCTGCAGCTGGCCGATGATGGCGTCTTTCTCCCGCTGGGTGTTTTTCTCCCTCTCCTCGCTCTGCTGCCTCAGCCACTGCAGATTCCGGTAGGCCTCGGCCGCCTGCTCCAGCTCCAGCTCCTTGCCCCTCACCAGGGCGTCCAGGCTCTGACCAACACACAGGAGAGACACGGCTCGCGTTCAGTGAATGCGTGTTATTGACTGGACTTCTTCCCTTCCCCGTAGTCGTGTGCTTTCTCGTCCCTCTCCTCTCTCCTCCTATCACTTCCTGCAGGTGTTCCTGGCTCTGGAGCTGTGGTTCCTGCTGCTCCCGTGCTCCTACTCTGCCACAATTTCAACTACTGTTCTTAGTCCTATTGCTATTATTACTGCCATCATTAACAGTACTATCAATATCTGTACCAGTTTTCACCCAGTCTTTAGCAACACTACCTTTACTTGTCTGTACCTCTATGTGTTACTGCGTAAGCTGCCTCCCACTGCTTCCTTGGCTTTCTCTTGCCCTCTCTCTCTCTCTCACCCCCAACCGGTCGAGGCAGATGGCCGCCCACTCTGCTTGAGGTTTCTTCCTCTTAAAAGGTAGTTTTTCCTTGCCTGTGTCGCCTAGTGCTTGCTCTTGGGGGGAAATGTTGGGCTTCTGTAAATAACTTCAGAGAAGGGTCTGCTCTGCTCTGTTTGGAAAGCTCTGTGAGACAACTGTTGTTGTGATCTGTCGCTAAACAAATAAAACTGAATTGAATCGAATCCGAGGAGCTTCTGGGGTCGGAGCGTACCGCGATGGTCTCCTCGTTGTTGGACAGGATGCAGCGGAGTCTCTCCAGGTCGCGTTCCTTCTCCCTGAGGGCCAGCTGCAGCGTCCTCACCTGGCCGTCGCGCTCCTCCAGACAGCGGAACTTGTCGTCGATGGAGCGCTGCGGGAAGCAGAGAGGGAGAGGGAGGGGGGGGGCGTTACACGCTCGCTTCTCAAGCCCCTGACTGACTGCTGCCATTTCACAGTCGCAAACAGCCTGGAAATCATTGCCTCTTTTTCTCCAAAGCCCCCTCTGGCATATGTGTGTGAGGTTACCTCCAGAGCTCTGTCCCTTTCTTTAATCCGCTCCCTTAGTTTCTCCAGCAAGGCATCTCTATGTTGGGAACCTCCTGTCGACTCTAAGATCTCCGAGTACTCCTAGGTAGGTAGGAAAAGCAGAAAGGATCAAACATTTGCCAATGCCTGTGTGCGTACCTGCACATGTCTGTGCTAAACAGCGGCATGTGCGGGGCCGTGCGGGTCACCTGCAGCTGCTGCTCCTTGTCCTGCAGGGAGCGTTTGAGCTGTGCGATGCACCCGTCTTTCTCCTGCACCGCCGCGTGTTTCTCCGCCTCCTCCAGCTTCAGAGCTGCTTCTTTGGCATGGAGCTCGGAGCGAACCTTCTGGAGGGCACTTCGCAGGTCCTGCCGCAGAGAGGCGAGAGGTTACACCTGCTTCACCCCCCCCCACTCCATCATTCGACTGCACATTCCAAACCCGGCTTACCTGGTTGTGTTTTTCAGTGACCTCCCTGTGCTGCAGGGCCTCTTGTAGGTCAGAGTTGAGCCTGTCCTTAAATCTCAGTAGGTTGTCTCCTTGCCTCTGGCTCTGTCTCAAACTCCTCTGGCTGGCCTCCAGCTCCAGGCCCAGAGAGAAGAGGGAGCTCTGCACCCTGACCAGTTCGCTCTGCAGCCCGGAGAGCGTCAAGGACTCACCCACCCCTCCCGGAACCTGGAAAAAGAATGATCGGGTTACCCAGATCAGACAGCGTGAGACACGGCCTTTCTCAAAGAGTGTTGAGGACAGACTCTGGGTCTCACCTTGTTTTTAGAGAGCTGGTTAACATGGGCCAGTTCTTGCAGCTTACACAGAGTGGTGTTTTGTCCTTCAATTAGCTGGTACAGCTCCTGGGCCTTGGCAGAGAATTAATTACAGAAATGAATATGTTCTTTAAAAAAAAAAAACATACACAGATGTCATATTTGCGTTTATCTACATTGAACACACACCTCGCTGTCTTTGGTGTTGATGGACTCACTGAGGCCCTGAATAGTTCTTTCCTGACTCTGAGTAGCCTGGCGAAGCGAACGCAGCTCATTCTCCATCTCGTTCAGGTTCTCCTGCAGCTTCTATGGACGGAGAACAGGAAGTTAGCCGTTGGCAAACTTCAGACACACTCTGACGGAGGCGAAACCGAACTTCCGCGGGCTGATTTTTAGGGGGCCGCACCATGTTGTTGGCCTCGCTTTCGTTGATCTTGGCCTGCAGGGACTGGACCTGGAGCTGGGCTTTCTGCAGCTCGCTGACACACTGACCGGCCGCACACTCGTATTGGTTGAGCTGGCTCTGCTGCTCTTCAACGAGGTTCTGCAAAGAATAAACCAGAGGTGAGAGTTTAAACCTGCAGCAAGTCCTTGCAGCAAATCTAGTTGATTATTTGTAAAAAGAAAATTCTAAAAGGTCTAAAATGAACTGAAAACACACTACCTTTCACTAAATACAAGGGGAATGGATTTCTGTGTTTCTGCACGCAGTGTGTGGTGCGTTACAGAATTAAACGAATAAATTCTTCCTGTCCTTTTATTTTTGGGCTTCTTCTGTCAGATGGCTACTAGAGTAGCCAACCAGGGCTGAGGATAGGGTGGTCTGATGTTATGTGGATCACTTTGCCTCAAGGCTTCTGGGGGAAAAGTAGGCCAGTAGTGGAGTCACTGTGACTTAATGTCTCACTTTATCTAACCTACTTAAGTCAGCAGTATGTTCTTATGGACCACATTCTCTTCATAAGTATAGGGACAAAATTCAGAGTTAATAGCAAAACCTTTTTAAAAGGACAACCAGTTTGTGGGACCTGGGATTGGTATTGCAAGCACATCTGTAAGGAGATTTTTTTATGCTTGGAAGCATTTAAAAATCCTAATCAGGAGTCAAAGGACATCGGTCTAATGATCTTTTGAGTCCATCTTTGATGACATTAGGAGTGTCCTCATTGTGGGTGGACACTCACGCTCGTTGGGTAATTAGGCCTAGCCATGTGCTGCTTACCTACACCTGGCTGCACTTACAGCACATGATGTTTCCACACACAGAGGACTACGCGCACACACATACACACACACACTCCTGAGTCAAAGCTCTTTGAAGAGGCTGTGGGTAGAACAACTGACGGACAGCTGCATTATAAGGCTTAAAAGAAAAATCAAGAGTGGTGGGAACATCAAAGCCTGTGGCTTTTGTCCGTCCCGGGTGCTGCAGCAAGGGCAAAATTCAATACTCATCATCCTGTAGTGGAGAAAACCTGCTTTTCGGCGCCCATTGTTGCTCTAGTTAAGGTTTTATACCTTGTGAGGGGGTGGGGGAGGATACTCTTTGTATAAATCTTCCAATAAATCCTCCACGTCGGCCAGGTTCAGCTCCTCGTCCTCCCCAAGATCGAGCCTGATCAAAGGGGTATCCAGCTCTGGTGTCAGCTCTGCCAGTTCTCCCTCTGGGGTTCCGTAAGACATTCCCACAACAGAATCTGAGAAGCCAAATCTTGTGACCCCATTAGTGGAGCTCCGTTGGCGCAAAACCGGCAGCTTGCTGCCCTTGGCGCTCCGAACTGGCCTGTAGACCGTGTAGTTTTGCAGCAAACAGAGGGCTAGAGAGAGGTCGGGTCCGGGTGAGGTCTGGCCATGTGGCGTCCCCTCAGACAGAGAGTCAGACAGACGGTCTTCGGATGCTTCTCTGTAAGACCTCAGCATCGCATCCTTTAGGGTTCCAGGATGAGCGTACTCGTCTCCGGCCATCTCCAGGGATGCCACGGAGGGGCTGGAGCTGACTCGTCCGGCCATAGTGCGATCGCTGTCGGACATCCTGGAGGGGTGCTGGGACCCGGGGACTAGAGTTTGTGAGGACGGGCCATCTTCTGAATCTTCCACATTCCCTCTCTCAGCCTGTCCTCCTCCTCCCGCCACACTGCCGCCCATAACACTAGCCGAGTATCTGGTCGATGGCCCGCAAGAAATACTCCTGGCCAACTTCCTGGGCACCTTACACACCGCTTCATAGTCGGAGTCAGCCACCCGCCAGTAGGAGCATCCGCGACACCTCCTGGGCGTGCTGGGCGTGCAGCGGTGCGAGCCCGCCGCGGCGGCGGCCTCCGACCCGGGTCCGGCAGGGCTCTGATGGTGGTGCTGGTGGGGGCAGCCCGGGCCGTCTTCGGCCCAGGACTCGTACAGCGAGTAGACCAGGTCCTCCTGCAGCAGGGCGCAGTACTTGGCGTGGGTCAGGCCCGAAATGTCCACCATCCCCTCCCCTGACCCCTCACCGGGCCCGGTCGAGGCCCCCGGAGCCTCCTCCGAATTGGTTTTCCGGTAGAGTCCGCCGATGCACTGCCTGAGGCGGTGCTTCTCCTGCAGGAGCCGCTGCAGCCGCTCGATGGACAGGGCCTCCACGCGGGCGATGACCGTGTCGAAGCGGTACATGCGGTCCAGCATGAAGGTGCACTTGGAGCAGGCGAACTCTCCTCTGCCGTCCCGGGTCAGCTCGCGGCCCAGGGCGTGGGAGAGCAGAACCTGGAGGTTCAGTTTGGAGGCCGGGTGGAAGATCCATCGCCTCTGGTTGCCACAGAGCTCCCTCCCACAGATGCGACAGCTCTCCTTCATCTTGAGATCCAGCATAGCCCACCGCCAGTCCTCTTGATTCTGCTCCTCTAACACACCAGGACGCACGTGCAGCTGCGTCCTTGTAGCATATTTAATCTTCTATATACAAGCGAAGCAGCCTAATGTCAAGGTTAATGTAGAGATATTGACTCGCAGAAGTCATTTCATGATACTTGTCTCTGCTCAGTAAATTCACTAATGGATTAAATTAGGCAAATTTGTGAGGGATACTCTTTCGCGTGGTTCCTGAGGGCTTGGCGGTCAGATGTCCGTCCGTTAAGGCTCCCCGTGCGTTTGCTGGCGCAGGTGCATCGGTACTATGGCGCACCCGGGTGACGGCTCTTCGGTCGGATACGGTGACCCACAGTTTGATACGACACATCAACAGTCCGGCGTTCCGCATTTCCAACCGGCGCCGCACGCGCCTCTGCGCCACCTCAATTGGTCTGTCACGCGAGCCTCGCCGCGCGCGGCGCCGGGTTCACCATGACCGGGAAGCGGCGTCCGTCCACTGGCAGATACACAGAGCGGCGGCGTTAACACCTGCCCGGTGTCGTTGTCCGTAAGCGAGTCTTTTCGGTCATTTTTTAGGCTAATAAAAACGGAAACTCCAAAAAACCACGCGGACCGGGCTCAGAACGCCGCGGCGACGGGGATCCTCCGGCCAGATAACGATGTGGCTGGTTGAGACAGACCTGCAGCGGTGGAGCGCACCATTCCGGGAAAACGGGGGATGAGGGAGTCCAGCGCAGTCAAACAGGGATGGCCAGAGATTACTAATAACGATAGGTTATCTTTTAAACTCCAATTTGCTATATAGAACACAAATAAATATCCAGCCCCAGGAAAGACATGTCTTTGGTTCGTGTTTACTGGGGGAGGAGAGAGAGTGCCATTCCCCTGGGAGTTTGCTACTTCCTCCCGCCCGGTTTGCTAAGCTCGGTGCGCCTGACTAAACAGGTGAAATGCTCAGCAGCGTGCAATGCGAATTGAATGACCTACAGAGAAAATTCTGCCCCTATAAGTTGTTTATGTATAAATAGAAAAAAAGATGCATGCTTTTTTGAGGTCATTGTTATCCTAAAACTATATGCCTGCCAGCCTGCCAGACAGGATCATTTTGATTGCTGATCAACTGTTTTGGTCTGTTTACTGATCTAAATAATGATTTTTACCTCTAGAATAATCATTCAGTGTCTGTTCTGTATCAGTCAGATTGATGCTCAAATATTTTTAGATCCTTATCTTTGTGGGGGGGGGGTTGTGTATTCTGTTACATCGCATGAATGACAAGGACATGCTGTTTGACTTACTAATAACCCTAATAAAAAATCACAAGACATATTCATGATATTGCATGATCACACTAATTTCTATCGTCTTAGAAACTAGCCCAACAAGCAACTGCTAATGTTTCATGATTTTTTTTCATATGTCCTGCTACCATTGGTGCTACATCAATGATTTGCTTGTGATGATCAAACAACCGTATCTTTATTCTGCATTTCCCTGTGCAAGTTAATCTCTGCGGCGATCATGAGTTTTATTTTCCAAACAGATGGTCACACTCATCCTGTGCTTTAGACCTGCTGGCGGTTCGACAGCGTCAGGAGGACAGAAGGTTTCTGCACATTATAATTAATGTGTGAGACTGCTTGTCTGCTTCAAGGTGTCTAACTGCTGGTTTTTAACATTTTACTGAGCCTGAATTAGATTCTTTCAATTAAATGTGTGCGGAAAGCCACAAGTAGGAAGGATGCAGGTTACTATTTTTTTCAGAATAAATTTGTTGTGAAGAGAAACAAATGTTGCATTAAACAACAGCTTTAGATGTTTTCATTTAACCATTGTAAGTCTTGCATAAGGAACATTGGAAATAACATTTCATATTTGATTGATTTCCTGCCTTCTGGTCCTCTATGCAGCACTCATGTGTTACATGTCTGGGGTGTCTTGGGAGATAATTAAGTGCTCTAATGACTGGTGTCGGTCTGAAAAGGACACACAATTTGATAGCAGTGTCCATGTCTCTGAGCACTCAAGATCGACCCAGCCTCTTGACAATCAGGGTGAAATCAGAGCCGCTAAACTGCTAACCAGGGTAATGCCTTCTGCACCCATGCACCATGGGAACCTACAAGAAATGCAGGCACAGATACAGACACACATTTATACAAGACTCCGGTTAAACTGATCCTATATCTCATCTGATAGTCAACAAAATACACTAACAAATGTGGGAAGCACAGTCAAGAACTGGTGATGCAATAAAAGGTAAATACATATAAGTGAGTCCATTTTTAAGCTGCAGAATGAAAAAACCCTAATTTCTTTTGGTACACTGGTCTTCACCTTGAGAAAAACTGACGTAGAAATCTGTCAATCAGGTCACATGAATATTAAAAAAGTAAACATAAAATATTTGTTAATAAGTCAGTTTAGAGTAGACTTAATTATTGTGTTTTTCAACTCCCTTCACAGAAGCCTTTCAGCTGATTAGTTTTGTGTACATATCTAATGGTAAAATTTGCACTCTCGGTTCAAGGTGCCCAAAATGACCTTTGCTGAGCTCAGATTATTTTCTTAGCTCATAGTAAGTGGTGCTTGGATCCTACAAAGCAGCACTTACCTAGCTGACAATCACCATACTCAGATTTAAAAAAATATCACCTGTACTGACAAAGAAAAAAAAGAAAAACTCATGCCTGGGCACTATGTTTTAAAGGGTCACTCATCACGTGTAAATTACAATAGTCACACCATTAAACCATTTTCCGACTTCCTCTTGAAGTTAAATAGCTTTTCACACTGAACATAGACTCAGCTTTGTTTGTTTTCAGTGCACACACACAGAAGCGTACCCTCTCATGCACACGCTGTCATGCATCTATGTACTTCCAGTTGAAAACTAACCCGAGAGCTTGCTTGGCAAGCACATTTGCATTCTTCATTCAAAAATCATTTACAAGTTAAAAAGACTGCAGAGGCAGCCTGAAAAAAAACTAGCCATAGCCAAATAACAAGGTACAGTGTTAGTCACTCCAGAGGAGTGTAAGATAAACATGTCTGAACTGTAATGATTATCTGTCTATGGGAACACAAAAAAGGTTCAGTGTCTGTGTTAGATTGTTGTCAAGGTATTGCCCCCTCCAGCAGTACTTTCATTTGATATCAGGACAGTTATGTGTCCTTGGGGATGTCACTGCTTGTAAATGTAACATTCTTGTGCTTTGTCTGTTGAAATAATCCTACTATAAGGTGCTGTGTGCTTTCACAGGAAGCCTTTCATTATGCAGCACTCACTGAATTCATTACACTCAATGGTTTATCAATGGTTTGTTTTTGTGTCACGTTCCTTCTTTGTTTCAGCTGAAGAAGTTTGCGCTCAGTCAGAATCGCAAGAGGTCACAGAAGACTGCACAAAGGCAAACTTTCAGCTCACAACAGGATGTTTCACTGAATGTTTACTTAAATTTTATCGCAACTCTATGAACAACACGCTCCCTCAGCTAGAACATAAGGACGTCTTTGTTCTTTTATTACAGTGAGTTGTTGTCCTGATTTTTGTACCAAATGTTCTGCAGAGATGTAACCATTTAGTGACATTCTGAATGCTGTTCTTTTTTAGAAATTGGAGAAAAGTATAATTCACTTAGATGCTCCGATCAGAAGAGTAACCATGAAAAAATACGTACAGTTTGTATACAAAAGCATTTTTTACTTTTTAATCTATATGAAGCACTGCAAGGCATTCAGTTAACTAACTTGTAATTTACAAGTTACTCAGATATGTGTGTTTTATCTCCACTTGTCCATTAGGAGGCAGAGTCTGTCTGATGACGCTCACTGCACATGGAGGGCGTGCTGTGAAACAGTTCATCCATGCATTAGTCATTAAAAAAATGCTACACTTTTTCCAGCAAAGATTGCAAATTATTTGCAAATGTTCCTTATCTATGTATTCATGTGTGTAATGCCTTTTCAAAGGTGAGTGATTGAAGGGATTTCACTTTAAATTTGTTTGCAAAAAATTGCAACTATAAATACTGTCACAATTTCAGGCTTTGAATATTCCATCACAAGCAGCAAAGAGCATCATCAAATGATTTAGAGAAACTGGACACAGTTCTGTGAGCAGGGTATGGTGTCAAAACCCGATATGTCTTCTGTAACATTATATATTGTATGACTAGGCTTTCAAATCAATGCATTCCTGTTTTGTTTACTTTTTACACAACGCAACACATTTTTTAACTGGAGTTGTACAGATTTGAACAATTTGTCTATTGATAATCCATCGCTGTTGTGAATGATAAAACACAATCACCAAATTTAACAAAGCAGTTCACATACCTGCATCTCCTGTTCGATGCGCAATCGCTCTTCACCCAGTTCTTCCTGATAAAACTGTGTAAAAGAAGGAGGTATTAAACTCATTGGACTGACCAAAATGTATTCTCATGATTTTCATGATTTGTGCAGGGTGGATACACATGGAGATCAACAATAAACCTCTAAGACTGGCAAAAGATTGGTCACACCAGAGGACCTGATGTGAGATGAACCAGGCATTTCTGTCTCTAATTAATTCAGGACAACATGATGTGTTTGTAGCCTCAAATGAAGCTGCGGAATGCCACATGTGCTGCTTCAGGAGCCTCTTTTGGGAAAAGGCATCTCACCAGAGGATACAGTGAGGTCCACTGGGATAAAGTAAGACACAGTTCTGCATCTCTGTAAATAAATATGTCTAGATACAGAAAAAAATCAGACAAAAATATATTTACTTCTAAGGTTTATACTTTTCTGCAGTCTAGACACAGAGACAAATCAGTATGCTCAGTTATTACCTAAATATGATCCAAGAGGAGCTCTTTAATAGGTGAGAATATAAAGGAAAAATAAAGAATCCCACCTCCACATCCTTGTCCTTCTGCAGCAGAGATGAAGATAGCTCTTCAACTTGCCCTTCCAGTTCTCCCACCCGGAGGGTGAGCAATTTCTTCTCTCCAGATAGCTCCGTAACGAGGGCGTCCTTGGAGCGAAGCTCCTTAGTCAATTCCTCTATTAATCTGAGCACAAACCGGGGAACAGTCAGTGCCACAGGAAGAAGGATTACAGTGGTTTCCTGTCCACAAAGATGGATGTCTAATCGATTTCTCAACGTTCTGCACCTGTCTTTGCAGGTGCTGGAGGGCCTCTCATCTTCAGGGATCTCCTCCATGTTGGTGTCTAAGGAGACAAGGGAGGCATGGGATTGGGATCCAGCCAGCGAGGCCACCCGCTCAGCCTCACTGCGCGCTAACTGGGCCTCCTACAAGACACACACACATACAGAAGCAGTTCCAACTGGTGAGGATGAGCTTGTGTGTGAGTAGCATTTGCAGACGGGACGGACAGACCAACCTCCTGCAGGAGCTGGATCTTTGCCTCCAGCACCTGCTGCATGTGGTCGATTTCCTGCTGCCGCTCCTGAAATCGTCTCTGCAGCTCTTCCTCATTGTAACTGGTCAAGCTCTCTGCTGTTGTGCTGGACAATAAGACAGTTCTTGTCATTGCCAATCAATGGTAACAAATGATGACGTCATTTCTGAATGATTTAACCGATGCTGAGGACAGTGGCTAAATGCGAAATATCAGTTTTTATAACCAAACATTTTTCCTACCTTCCTACCTCCCTACCTTTTTCCTACCTTCCCTATTTTTGTTCAGTTCAACACTACATTTCTTACTTTGTTCTTTTCTGTTTTGTTTTTTTCTGGTAAAGTACAGACCAGTGCTGTAACAATGTTTCACGTGTTGGAAAAATAAAGCGGTTCGTTTCAGGGGTTCTGAATGATCATTCAGAAACTCATAAAAGTTCAATCTTTTGTCAGAAACGGCTTCTCATCCAACAATTTAAGTAACAGATATCAAATGAACACTGTCCTTTAATTTTAGCAGAGATTTGATTTGAGAATGCATCATAGTTTTTTATCCCAGAAATAGTGTATCTGCCACACAAATATCAGAGGGGTCAATTTTAGGATGTAATGGAGACATCAGTGAGAGCCAAGAGTATAGTATGATGTCAGTTCTTTCCTGTCTGCTGTAGGGCTCATGATACACGCTTTTACTTGTCCATTTATAGCAGACATTAAATAAGAGTAGCCTGATGTCATCGGGTATTCCTGAAATAAAGAATTTCTCTCAGAGTGATAGAGCCAAAAGATTTATGGTTTTGTAAACAATGCACGTGAAATGAAGTCTTACTCGTTTGGCGAGTAACCCACAACGGGAATTATTAATTTCAACCGGAAGCTTTTGAGTTTGCAGAGTGAAGTCACACAGATGAACATTTGTGATCATATCATCAAGTGCATGATCTTTCAATTTTAGTCAGACTCACATCCAGCTTCTCTCCTCACACTTGAGGTGACTCATGATCATTTTCCTCTCTCCACTGAATTGTTTCACTTAGTCAGTCAACAACTGCATCCCAGAATTCCTGCTCCCAGAATGGCACACGCCACTCTGTCGCCATGAGTCCTCTTCTGGGCGCTCTCTATGCACCTTTTTAACTTCATCCACCATATGCAGCAGCTCGGATAACTGGGATATTTTGAACCAGTCTGAGCAATGTCTGTCTCATGAACAAGTGTCCTTCTTGTAAAGTGAACATGGCTCTTAAGTTATCCAGACAGCCCACATACCAAACTGTAACCGCTTTAAGGAGGAAAAGTCATAAGAAAGACTGCAAGGTAATCTAGCTGCAGCATAATTTGAGCATCTGTTCACATCTGCTTTTCATCCTGTCATTACTACAGAATCAGAATAGTAGTAATCAAGAAATGTGTTTCTCTATCCCAACAGCACCTGCGCAGTGGAAACAGCACTATCTGGTGGCAGCCAGAAATCTACTGCAGTAACAATGCTGAATAATGAAGGCCATAGTTTAAGAAATTCTAATCATATATTAGTAGAGTACATATAAGACATAGAAATTAAGATCAGCAGAACGTCTTGAACATTTTCTAACAGTCCACAGTATCAAGGCATCATACAATTCCTTTCCCATTCATGAATATTGAAACATGAATGTTGATGTGATTTAATACCCAGGTCAAACTCTAACTGTAGCTCGACTTAACATGTCAGTCTGCTGAGAGTCAAAAGCAAAAATAACTGCCTTTAAATACATTCCTTGTTATAAACTGCATGTAATGAATCTGTAGACCATCTTGTGATGGGATTAAACCAGCTCAACCTCAAAAAGCTCCCCGATCACGCCTATCCTCTGATGGACACCTCATTTGGTGAGTCACAAAACACGAAGGAAGAAGAAGAATGATGGACAGAACAGGGGTTTTCAGTGGGGGCCCCTGTTAGAGCTAATCTTCAGAACTCGTTTTGGTCCACACCCACTGAACTTGGCTTTCATCTTTCTCACCAACATGGCTGACATGACATTTTATGTCATGATATAAAAGTCACATAGAGAGAAAACAATACCATTAATGTCCTTCTGTCATAAGACTCACAATTTTCCAGATTATTGCCAAAAACCAGCCTGTCATTTTATTGACCCTACAATTGTGGAGTCAGTGTAAAATTTGTGACTTGTTGCAGGATAACAGTGTGAGTTAGTTTAAACTGTCATGTGTGTTTGAACCATGTCAACAAGCAGTTGGAGATGTGAAGTCTTACTGCAGTCACATGAGAGAAATGCTCTGAATCACAGCTAATCTCAAGATGGAACACAAGCCAAACATCCATGGATGGACCTTCATTCCCACACTTTGACACATTACTTTCACAACTGTAAGGTTTAAGAGTGGTTTACAGTTGACGAGTTGTACACAATGTATCAGCCATATATTACTGTTTTGATAGCAACAGTGATGCAGACTGGAAAACCTCAAAGTATCCATCATATTCTGGCAGAAGTGGGCAGTAATTATTGGGGTCAATTGTGAACTTACAGTGCTTTATCCAGAAGGTCTTGTTTCTCCTGGAGCTCCTGCTTCAAGCTCTCTACTTCCACCTTCAGCTCGATGTTCTGCGACAGAAGAAAAGCAAGAGGCAGTCAACCAATCAGCCACAAAGTCAAACAATCGTCAGCGTCAGAGGGACATCATCAGCATGGTGCTATTTGGTGCTATTTACAGTTTAGTATCAGGGATAGTTTAAATATCCTTAAGAATAGAAATGAAGCACAATTAGGGCCAATATCCCAGAGAAAATGTGCTTTTAGATATTTTAGAGTTCAAATTTTATGCCCCATTAGTCGTGCCACCAGAACACAGTACTAACACCTCAGAGCTTTTTTCTTGCCTACAGGAACATATGTATTTCAGATAAATATAATAACGATATTTGAAAATAAACATCGTCAGCATATTCATGAAGTTTGTCTGCATCAAAGGCTCACATATGTGTCACTCTCTCAGTTTCCTCATCTCGTCGCTCATCAGACTGTGATCCCTCTGTTGTATAAATCAGGGCCGGTGGGCGTTGCGTGTCATCAGTGCAGGACATCTGACCCTGCTGTCATGGCTGGTATATTTAGAACTGGAGAATTTGGAGCAGCTCAGATACTCACTCACGGGGCCAAAGGCTGAACTTTGCAGTTTGTTTACCTGCTGGAGTCCAGAGGGGGCATTTGAGGGGATAATAAGGGCTATCGCATAGGGCTACGTGACAGAGGATTTAAACAGAGAGTACAGTGGGGCTCATTCTTTCCGCTCTGACCAAAGAAAGAAAAGGAGAGTAGTTCACCCGTCTACCTTTATTTGCATGGAGATGCTACTCCCTCAAGTCAGATTTTTAAACATTTTTTGGACCCTATCATGAGGCACGTCTCTCTCTGCCTGTGAGGTTCACAAAGAACATGCAGCAGTAGCATGATTGATTGGCTTGTTGACTGACTTGGATCAGACACTTATCTTAAAAGTTTAAATATAAGAACTTTGCCCTTTAAACTCAGATTCATAACATCATTCTTACTGCTGAAATTCTGCTCAGAATTTCTTTATAAGCGCCTCTGAATGATGTGAAGTTCAATGGAGCTCAAATGTATATCAGACGCACATACATTAACATAAAAAAGATATCAATTTAAAGCCATATTCTGCTAGCATCCACTGGAGCGCACCCCAAAGCTATTATTTAAGGTATATCCGTTTTTAACTTTCACTTTTTAATTGGCCGTATCTAATATTTCTAAAGCTGATGAGCTTTTTATGTGTTCTTTAACTAAGAAAATTGTTGGTCTGATTCCCACACTTGACTGCCCACTGTCCTTTGTTTCTGCATTTGGGTCCTTTATGAGCTCCAGCCTGGAAATTATGGTCTCACAGTGAACTGAGTTTTGTGAAAAGATGCATTGCAGACTGGTCTTTCAGATTTATTGTGTTTAAAGTTTTCTGTTTATTTTGATCATTATTACCTTAGCATCACAACTGATAGTGTCACTGATTATTACTAATAATCAACCCCCTGCGTTTCAATTAACACAAACTCAATGCATCTCTATGAATTCAAACACAGCGTGTTTGAATGCATAGAGAATCACCATATTATCAATGTGAGAGAATGACTGTTTAACATTGCAAAAAAGGCAACAATGTGACAATTCTAAAAGAAATACTTAAATAATACAATGTTGAAACACTGCATGCTGTCTTTTCAGCCCCACACTCTGCAAAGCCACTGCTCTTAAACGACTTGCCAGGGCCATGGAAATGAATAGTGTTGCACACACGAAGGAAGACCGACTATTCCTGTTTGTGTGCCAACAACGTGGTTTACAGAAAGCCATCTTCTCATCAGGAAAACTGTTCTATATTTAGACACCCATCTCTGTGCACCTGCTACTTTTTACCTCTCCTGGTTTGCGGGCGCTCAGCAACAGCTCCACTTTTAACCCCAAGGAGAGAGACACCCAGCTGGACAGCCACACGTGAAACAAACACACTTGCAACAATGTGACTGTGCATCTGATAGCGAGCTAGTATCAGGGACTGTGATGACCCTCTGTTTAGTTAATCTGACTGTGTCATTAGCACTCTGGTAATCAACTGCAGTTTCAGAAGCTTCTCATTTTTGACGATCACCTAATTTTCTCAGATAAAGAGATATTTTACAGATTTAACTTTCATTTAATGAGACAATTTAGTCATGGTCAGACAAAACATCTGACATGAGAGAAAACGAGAAGTGAAACCTATCAACACGTAGAACGTATGGGTGGTGTCCTGAACTCATCTGAATCCATGTGATGAATAAATCAGCACACTGAAGCCTGATCTATTAATAGAAATATCTGAGCCCACGGGGAGATCACTATGTGCTGAGGTCTTACACAACTAGTCTGCACTGTGGTACACCGAAAGGGTTTTAAGAGAGGACGTGAATTCTTCCACTCAAATGTGAGGCGAAACAAGCATCTATTCAGGAAACAACAACAGAAAAAGTCCGAACCAATTTCTCAGATTAACCTTTGGTCAAACAAAGTGTGACATTGTGAAGCAGAAGGAATAAACACCACTTGCATGTCTGTTCAACGTGGGATCAGTTTACTCAATCATTGCTGGTATGCAGCAATATCAGAAGATACGTGGAAGTCAGCACGGGTCTTGTTTGGCTAGATCAGGCAGCCATTTAGTTTCTACTGTTGAGCTGTTGTTGATCAGAAGGGATTTAGAATAAAAGGAGGACGAAAGGACAGCATTTTAAGTGGTGACTCTCTGGCTCTTAAACAGACAACAGCTGTACTGTGTCACCTTACTTAAAAAACTGCAGCTTTACATGGATATATGTAAAAACATATACAAATAAAACAATGAGATGCTCATATATGTTTGCATGTTCTAGGCTAAAATATAGATTACATTATTTTAAAACCTTGTTTCAGTGATTAATTGTGAGCATTGTGAGTATGTATTTATTTAGAAATGGAAAACTCACTCAGTTAATGCATAAACATGTTTACTGCACATTTGATATATTTGCAGTAAAACTGTGAAATATATCATAGAGGTCATTTAACGCCAAATGCATATTAAATGGAGATGAATGAACAAATTAGTGCTGTTTTGATGTGTCAAAAATAAACCATTTTAATCTGGTTGCAGCCTCTTAACGAGTCTAATGGTGAAGTTATTTTACCCAGTATTTGGAAAGAAGGCCAACAAATGCTAAAGAGGCCATGTACAAATCTTAGTATCAGAGCCAGTTTGACCCATGCAAGCGCTTTCAAAATTCTGGCAAAAGCTGCTTCATACTCTTTCACAAGTTCAAATATGCGTCTTTAAGTGCAAATGCATGAGCTACTGTTGAAAAGTTAATGTCAACTAATAAAATATTATCTTTACAGAAAATAAAAAACCCTTAAAAAAAGACAACCGTTAACTGTATGATGGATACATAGTTTTATGGCCAAAAATCACTCAATTGAAGTTTGCGATGCATCATTTAAGTACCAAAAAGTACAGTACAGTGTTATTTGCAAGACAAAGGTGTAAACCTCATGACAAGCAGTTGTTTTTAAAAGAAAGATAAACCCAAGAATATAACTTTGTTGAGGATTAAAAACTAAAGAATAAATCTTTTTAGATAAAATAACATAAAAAATATATCTCTTCTTATATTCTGCAGTACAGGACCAGTCCATAAATTTCTTGACACAAATGCAATAATAGTTGCAAAAAATAAACTTTGAATAAAATTCGATTAAGAATTTGACCATCAAGAATAAAAAATATGCAAACATTGTTATGTATTTACATTGAAGAGCTAAAATTAGGACCACAAACATGCAGGAACGGCTGTCTTAAACAACCACCAGCTGTTTATTGTTCAAGACTGATCACTTCAGGGTAATAGTAGCTGGGACAACAACAAAAAAAGTAAAAATTCCTTATGTTTGAATAATTTCAAAATAAAATTCTTTATCTCAGCAACTCAAAGCCAACTCCCTCTGTGTTGGAAAAAATACTCTCATGCTTCTATTTTTTGGGTAATAAAGGTTCACATTGTGACTAAGGGCGACCAAAACAGTCCCTATTGTTGCAAAACAGATATGAAGTGCTTTTCTACTCACAGTACGATACACATCCTCACTGCTCTCCTCGTACTTCTGCTGAATCCTCTCCTCCAGGAAGTAGATGCGGAGCTTGAGGCTGAAGTTCTCCTTCTTCAGGTCATTCAGGTGCTGTGATAGGGTACGGTAACCGTTAGACATGACGGTCGAAAAAGCACCGACACTGCTTCAAATGTCCATCATGGATCAGAAATAAACAGTCGCCTTGGACCTCTCCGCTTCGTGTGCGAATGGGATGTCCATTTCAAAGGAAAGCGACCGTCAGGGCTTCTCCATGAGTCCAGTAAGAGTCTGACAGTCTACTGTCTCCATAAGAGCGCACTGTCACAATAACTAAATTATTCAATCAAACTATGCATAAAGTCCCATTCTAGTCCCTAACAAGCCGTAGGAGACTAAAGCACACAGACTAAAACTGACACGTGCACACACAAACGTCTCTCAGGGCGTTTGCAGTGCAGAGGGCCACTGCAGCCCGGCGGTCAGAGATGCGGCCGTGGCAGCTCCATGGTGTGCTGTGGTCTGCCCGCCGATGGGACAGGAGCATATTTTACTGTAGGGGAGACATCTCTGGAATCCCAGACTGCCAGGGGAGATGGGTGGACGGGGGAGAAGAGGGGAGGAGGCAGTGGGAAAGGGTACGCAAAGGGCTTACAGGCACTTGTGACACAGTATGAAGAGAAATCTCACCCCTCCGCAAATATGGAGAGCTGACTGCTGTAAACAAGGATTTAATGAGATTGGGAAGTTACAGTCTGTTCTTTTTTATTTTGCTGTTTTGTTTTCAGAAATAGTGTAACAACACTGCAATATGTCTGACTCAGACCGTTAAAAAAAAAAGTCTGTTATAGAACGTGTTCAGGATCTGTTATTTGCCAAACTCACATTGGAAATCGTGGGAATAAAACAAAATAAAGGACGATTTAATGCTTTAAACAATATACCTGGTCCCACATTACCTTTAGCTTTTAAAGCTGCAATTTTGCTGGAATATATCTGGAATCAATAATTGGTGACAATTAGTGGCTATCTGTAGTTTTGCACATAAAAGACACATAAAAAGAAAGAAATTACTAGACAAGTGTTTTACTATTGGTAGTTTGGGTATTCTTTTTCGAGTTTTTGGGATACACCCTTTAAATCAGTTACACATGTATAGAGAAACTCTTCCACCACATTTTTCTAAAAATATTCTTGCTTCATCTTCAATGATAGTAGAGCAGACTCATCCCATCATCATGCTCTTAAACTTATTAACATCACTTCAACTGATGGGGGATTCTTTGGAATGATCAATGCTTTTACAAAATTGAAAGAACATTTTTTGGCAAAAAAATGTGGACACTTGAGTACACAATCAGTCACAATCCGTGCTCTTCAGACATAAAAATAAAAAAACTGCTCAAATAAATATTAACTGGATGCATCAGATCAAGTTAGAGAAGCTGGTGGAAGCAGGACAAACAGGTGAGTGGGAAGAAGTTGGCCGAAATAGGAGACCTGGGCTCACCGAGCCACCGTGCTATTAATAGGGACATGTCCCAAATCCTGCAGACTGGTGAATCCCTGAACGTCCCTCAGAGAGAAGAAGGAACTTGAAAGAAGCAAAGAGTAAAAAAGAAACGGGGGCTTTGCTAAATGAAACCCTTTTACCATCAAAGACCCCTTCCAAGCAAAAAAAAAAGCAGGTTTGCATGTTGAACTGACTACGATTCATTTGGTGCATCACTTTTAGAAGTTTATCCATTCAGTGAGTGTGACCAATATGGTGTCACGTTTGACTCTGTTGCTAAATAATTCAGAGCAAAGACAGAGCAGGTGCCGACACGAGCCTCTCTTTAACATTAGGAATGACATCACGTACACAAAGCGTGCTCTCACTCACGCACAAACATGTGTTACAGCCCTCAATCAAAGGCTACTAAAAAGGAGAGAGGGTGTGTGACTCTGTCTGCGGGCGCTTTCGGCTGTTTATGTCGGTTGTAAATAGTGACGCATCCATGGAGGGCCTCCATCTGAATAACCCCAGCTCTGTGTTGGGGGGTCTTGGTTTGTCACGTCTCCTTTTATTAGTGATTCTGCAGCCCCTCCCGCAACAACTGTATTCTAGTCTGATCGGGTAAATATACACTGGTTTTGTTTGGAGATCACGAACAACATTAATAACCCTGTAATGCCAAATGTATCATGTTTGATACATACGGTTTCTGAAATGTTTTGCGTCTGACACCTTTTGCATAATTTAATGGTAAAAACTTTGCTCAAAATCCTAATGTACACAATCAGATGTACCTGATAACAGGGGGCAGAAGACTACACAAAAAATAATCTTGACCTATCGCATATTAATAAATTATTATTAGCAAAAATGTATTTCTGTTTTTTCTTTTTACATATTTTGTTAAAAGGCCAAATAAGGAATTCAAAAAAAAAAAAAGTAATTTTCTGTTTTGTTTTATTCTTGGATCGGGCTTTAAAGGGGTAAGATCATGTGTTTGATTCGTGATGGTAATGCTAAAGCCAGGAGGCAGTTGCCCAAAAAGTTACAGAAAAAGGCACAGCATCCCGTACAGCTCATCGGTTTATGCTGTGTATTTTGTGTCCTTCGTTAAGTCTAAGCCAGGGGTGTCAAACTCCAAAACACAGAGGGCCAAAATCTCAAACCTGAACAAAGCCGCGGGCCAAGATTGAACAAATGAACCTTTTAATGTGGAATAAAACAAATTTTGCTGTAACATTGAATATGGAACAAGCAACTCTCATTACATTATATATAACTTAATAGTGGAGAAATCCAATTTCAAATAAAAAACACATCAATGGAATTCATTTATGAACTAAAAATGAACAACAGCGGGGCATTATGGGAGTTGTAGTATGAGCGGTTAATGCGCTGTACAGTATAAAGCTTATGCTTCATCCTACTCCTTTTTGAAACATGATGCATGTTTATGAAGCATTCTATGTAAACATTGTTAAATCATATCATGTTTCAAAATAAATTAAATGAAAAATTAAATGAAATCATTTGGTATTGTCTCGCGGGCCAAATATAATTACAACGCGGGCCAAATCTGGCCCTCGGGCCAGAGTTTGACACCCCTGGTCTAAGCAAATGGGACACCAGACCCTTAGACCCAGAGTTTGTTCCACCTTGTAAGAATTCCACCAGAAAGCTCACTGACTGAGAAAAAGGATACAGACTTTTTTCATCTTGATTTGTTCATCAACTCCATAGTGACTATTTGAAACCTATATATACAAATTCTCCAGAATTCCGGAAATTTCAATATATGTTCTTGTCTCAAAAGCCTGAAACATCTACGTCTGACTTGTTTCAGTTCACCCAGCCGGCTACCAGCCACCCATCCATTCTGAAAATGAGTTAAATGAGTTCAGCCCATTCGTCAACACAGGCAGACGGGAAAGCTCAGAAAGTGGGCCATGGAGCACCTGAAGGCAGTTAAAAATATCAGGAGGATTCTGGGTGCTTTCCATCCCACATTCTCAGCTGCAGGTGCTATATTTTGTTCTGTAAGGAATGTTGTACACATGGTTTGGAATTGTGCTCAAATTCATAGCAATGCTCTCCTGATTTTAACAGCACTGACATTTTTTTGCCCAGAGCCACAGGGTGGCACTGATCAGCACACGTTCATGATCAATCTCATCCAAGGACAATTGTAATCATTATGCAGAAGGGGAGACATCCAGCTCCCCGTAAATGGAAAAAATAATAATGGAAATAGGGAATCCTACCTGTTCAAACTGCTTGAGTGTGTGAGGCTGAAGAGGAGGAGAGTTGTCTGTGTCATCACAACACAAATCTGTGCAAGAGAAAATAGAAAAGAGCATTAAAAAAAAAAAGTAAAACACTGACAAAATGTAATCAGTATAATTCTGTGCTTTTACTTCAACCTAATTGAAATGCAGACTACCTGTCATGTGACCTGTGGTCTTGGATGCGGATCCCACCTCCACAGTGCCGCTGAAAAACAGCAAAACGCTAAGTCAGCAACAAACAAACACGAGACAATGGCCCGCAAGAGACATGAAGTGACAAGAAAGCCCCAGCAGACAAACACCAGCAACATTTTTAACTCTGAAATATGCATGATTGTTTCTTCACTTACAATGAGCAACAAGCAACCTTTACTTTGAGAACAGAGATCTTGACTTTATATCAGATTGCTCCTAAACTCTTTTCACCAAAGAAGCATGCCTTCAATTGCATCTCAGAAGATGGGGACTCATCAGGGAGTCTCAGCAGGGGGGCATGTGCTGTTGGGAGGAGCCTCCGGAGGTCAGAGTTCAACTGAATCTGACTATCTGCTGAAAATCAACCCAGAGCTATACTATACAGAGTGTTTACAATATTCTCTTTTTCTAAAATTCTTTGTTACAACTACAACAATTCGAGTACAGCTAAAAACAAAAGAACAAATCATGCATAACTCAAGACTTCTAAACACACTAAAAGAATAATGGGACATTATGAAATCAAACAACATATCACCGGCCATGCCATAAAGGCCTGAGTATTTTCTGTTCACACTGAAACGTACTGCCCATTTGTGCATGAGAAATTCCTCCGACAGCTGCTGCAGGGTTGTTAAATGTAAAGACAGTTGCTGCATGCCTCAGATTAGAAAAGTTAACCAGGTGGGTAAATATCCCACATGCAACATTACTGGGATGGGCAGGGCCTGACATTTCACAACTGTTTTCTTAATGCAAACAGCAGTGGGGTGGTCCATAGGGTCACTGAGTCCCCTGCGGGCAGGAAGGCTTTCTGGTGATGCAGTAACACTCTTATATGATGGTCTGTGCTGCTCGTTTGAGCAGAATGCTGTTACCAAACCACCAAACTGAATAATAACCCAATGCTGTGAAGATGAATTGTCAAAAACCTTTTCCTCCCCGTGCACAGGTGGAGGAATCACCTCTGGGCCGGGCTGCGTTAAGTGTGTCTCTCCCAAATACAGAACTGGGCCATTTCAACAGCCCTTTGAATGCAGCATGAGAATTCGTAGTCTGTAAAGTAGGTCAAAACTAGAAGAAGCGCACATTTAATCACGCATAGGCCAAGAATTTCTTTTTTTTACAATAACACAGCCAAATTGATTGTATTTAGAAACGCTAACGTCCCTCCTATTAAAGCCTGAATAGCCCCATCCAAAGAGCATAAAGCATGCAGCAGTGATGGCTACATCCACACAGTGGCTGCAGAAAATGGCCTGCTATATGATCTGCTAAATGGCTAAAATTAGTCAAGATGTCACGATTCTAACGGTAGGCTTCTCTGATCATTCAAAACTATGTTTCCTTTCCCTTCACCCGTGGGATTTTGTAAAAAAAAAAAAATCAGATGTTCATTGAGCGCTTCCGCTGCGGCGTCTTTCTCTCTTCCCCCCTTTTAGCTCAGGATTCAGATCCCACCTCACCTCTCTGACTCTGCCCAGATTTGCTCCGGCAGCGATGAGCTCCAATCCATATAGGCTGATGCTTCAGTCAACGAACATCCATGCCGCAAACCTTAAAAACCGCCCGTCCATCACCAGGGTTCCGGGGAGTCATCGCACGGGAGCGCGTTCTCTGCGGCGCGCCACACAGGTTAGGGGACGTGGATGTGCGCGCGCTTGTGTGTGTGTGTGTGTGTGTGTGTGTTAGAGAGTGAGAGAGAGAGAGACAGAGAGAAATAGAGAGAGAGAGAGAGACAGAGAGAGAGACAGAGAGAGAGAGAGAGC